CCCCCCCCCCCCCCCCCCCCCCCCCCCCCCCCCCCCCCCCCCCCTCCTATCCATCACTGACCGTGACAGAGAAATTCCCTATCCATCACATACCGTGACAGAGAGAACCGCCTACCCATCAGAGACCGTGACAGAGAGACCCCATACCCCCTACCCATCACAGACCGTGACAGAGAAATCCGGAGACCATCGCAGACTGTGACAGAGTATCCTAGAGACCGTTACAGATCGTCACGAAAAACTGCTAGAGCCCATTCCAGACTGCGACAGAGAAACTGTAGTTCTGAAGCATCAAATAAATGGTAAACTACAAATCTGTCATGAAGAAATGGAACAAAATGGTGTTCATTTGATTAGTGATAATAGGTCCATCGTGTTTCACATTTTTAATCCCGCAAGGGATTGCGCTAACAGCTTTTTTTCTTATATGCGTTTTGATTTTTTTTTGTTTCCTGCAGTTTATATAATAGTGTAAGTTTCGAAAGACGTGAAATATTTACTTACGAAAGAAAGAAATAACTGTAAGGATCGTAATGATTCACTCAAAGACATGTGCTGGATGGATGATTGGAAACAACCAATCTACTTCGTCGTTTAGCATTTGCCTTCGTTTTTTTTAATATTGATATTTCCAATAGATGACGTAGTTTTATGCAAATGATATAAATTGCTAACTTTTGTTAGACTAGACATGAAAGTTTGTTTTCGTTTTCTTAAATTGAATTATTTCTGCTTTCTCTACAATCTTTATTATTTCAACCTATCAAAAGTCGACAAACAATTTATTCATTTTTTTTTTTATATAATTCTAAAATATTTAAAGATGACTTTGATCATATAATAACTTTACATACAATGGAATAAATAATTCTCTTAATTCACTTAATACAAAAAGAAAAAAAAACTCAAAGAATAACCAATGGAGGTTGATTAATTGTACTAGAAATTGATATAGTTGCAGTTGATTGAGATTTAATTCTATTAAAATAATGTTGTTGAATCATTCGTTTTAATCGATTTCTTTCAATTGATGATTGTTGTCCATATTTATAAGCTAAATATAGTTTTTCATTTAATTCTTGTTGACTTTCTTGAATGAATATACGATTTAATAAATTAAGATCTTCTGTTGCTGAATCTGAATAAGGTATTATTGAACGTTGTTGAAAAAATTTTGCACGTTGTCGATATTGTTTTATTTTAGCTAAATGTTCTTTACGTTGTTGTCGTGTCCAATATTTACCTTGTTTTAATTCACTCATTGGTTTATCATCTGTTGTTTGATATTGTTCTTTTAAACGTTGTTCACGACAACGACGTCGAAAACGTTTTAATGTCCATTGATTATGATTATTATTGTAATGAGAATGATATGAATCATTTGATTTTGATCGACTACTATCACTATCATTTCGACGTTTAACAATTAAATTTTGTTGTGATTGATTATTAAATGGTAATGGTTTAAGTATAATTTGTTCATTATCTGTTATTATTTCCAAAAGACTTTGAGAACGAATTAAAGGTTTTTTATATTGAATTTGTTTTTCTTCATGTTTTATACATGATCTTAAATCATTTAATGATAAACAACGACGATATTGAAATTGATCTGTATACGATTGTATACGACGACAATATAAACAATTATTATTTAATGTAGATGATGATAAACTAATACAACTTTTTATTAAATTATTACATTCATTTGAAGATTTCTAAATATAGATCAACAAAATAATTTATTTTTTGAAAAAAAATAAAATTTTCATACTTGATTTGTTGTTTCAATATCTGTATTACAAGCAAGAACAACACCATTATCATCTTCATTTAATGGTATTGATTGAATTATTGGAAGACAATTAACTTGAAAACGTACAATTTGTAAAAGAATATGACAAGCACCATTTACAAGATTGATTGCTTGGTCTCGACTTATAACACGATGATTGTTTATTTTAATAATTTGATCACCACTTCGAAGTTCACCCCGATGACCTGCTATACTCTCTTTATCAACCTATCCATTATTATATGAGAATATATGCATGAAAAATGATTCGTTTTTTCTTTACTTGTTGAATATAAATATTAGTAGTTGATTTTGATGTTATACCATAACAAAGAGTTAAACCTAATCTTTCATTTGGATGATTTCGATGAAAAATTATATTCTAAAATTCACATAGAATTTATTTACATAAAAAAATCGATCAATTTATTGTTTAGATCATCGTTTTTCGGTCTCAAGAGTAATAACAAGGTCATCATATTAACTATTCCAATGCGTGAAAACAATAAAAAAAGTCAGAAGGTGATCTTTTTTCTCATTTGATTAGTTATCGAACAAAAAAAAAAGTGTCTCAACTAGCGGCGTAACCAGGATTTTGGCGGTGGTAGGGCTCAGGTTACTGAAGTCTGTGAGGTGGTAGGGCTCATGAAAGGATTTAACTGACGATGCTAACCCTGGTGGTAGGGCTGTAAGGTCCGGTGGTAGGGCTGAGCCCCCCCCTGGCCCTACCCTGGTTACGCCACTAGTCTCAACCTTACTTTTATTAAAATTTCATTATTTAATACAGATGATGATTGTTGTTATAACTGACGATCAATAAATGAATTTAATGAAGATTCATGAGAATATTTATTGTTATTTATTATACTAAAATAAATCAAATGTTTGGATATATTCTTTTATTAACAAAAAGAACAAAAAGGAAAAGGTAAAGAATAATTTAAAGGGAAATATCTTTGTCTGATAAATATTGACGACGTAATTATTGATATTCATCATAGAAAATGTCAAATCTCTGTGGGAATACAAACAACTATTCATTTTAGACAAAAAAAAGATAACAAACAGATGTAAGAAATAAAAGTATGACTTTATAGATTTCTATCAAGGAGGAAACGGTGGATTTCGTACTCTGGGATTTTCGGGATTATCACCGTACTCCTCGGATTATCATCGTACTCCGGACTCCTGATCATTTTATGTCCTTGATTTGTAGTTTTTCTTCGAAGCTCCGTATGGTATTCTCAAGCGTCCAGCAGCTGTGCGAGAGATCCAGTTCTTCTCATAAGAGTTATCCCATAGCTTTTAAAGGCTACCAACCGGAAGTGTATCTTCTCATTTGAGAACATGAATATAATTCAAAAAATGAAAACTATTTAAATCAGTTTTAATCATATTTTGAATTTGAATGAATTAATTAGAAAATGACTAAATTTAAAAATTTTATTTATAAAAATTGGTTTGAAGAAAAGATTACATAATTCAAATTGAATTTTTCAAAACTTGTAGTTTCTTCATTCTCTCATAAAATTCCGATTTATTTAAATTTACGAATTTATCATTCAAAATAAAATTCAAAATTCGTAAATTGATATAAAATAAACAATCTATTTATATTTATTTTAAGACAAGTGATGGATTCAGAATTACCCCACTATATCTAACTGGTGTTCATAATAGCCCCATATGGGACTATTATGAACAAAAATGATTTTTTTACATTTTACTATTTTTATCAATATTACTTCAAAATAAAGAATTTTGACGAGTTAATCTTACCGATTGTATTATCAAAGGTGCTCTTTCTAATTGTGTAAAAATTATTGATTAATCTTTTTCAAATGATGAGTTAAGTGATTTGGAATGAAGATCATTTTTTCCGGCTATTTTAGCTGAGTGTTCATAATAGTCCCATACTATTTAGCATATGTTCATAATAGTCCCAAGCGGGGCTATTATGAACAAACGACGGAGCTTCTAGCAAAACAGGTGCTGAATGAATTCGGAAAGGTATTTTTCAAAAATTTTTAGATAGATGTGTAGAGAACACTTCTGGCTATCTATCAGTAGTTTTTTTTCTGAAAAATAACAAAAAATGAAAAAGTTATAAGACTTTTAATTGCAACTTTCGAAAAGACGTTCAGAATAGCCTCAATCTACTCTACTGAAAATATGAAGAAAGAGAAAAAAATATTTATCAATGACTTTTTTGGACCATTCGTCGGCACTATATATTTTTTCTCGTCAGGTCATCCATTCATTTTATTCAGTGACCGAAATAGACACAAACAGATATATATATATATGCATCTTAATTAGAGTGTTTGTTGCAGTCAATATGCATCAGTCAAATGTTAATCTTCTTGATCTTCCTAATAAAATATTACTTACAATTTTTAAAATCCTTAACAATATAGATATTCTCTATTCATTATTCGATATTGATAATCAACGACTTGATATGATATTACAAGAAAAAACTTTTACCACAAGTCTCAACTTCGTATTTACAACATCATATGGTTGGGTTTCGTCGATTGCTGATTCAATAATTGATCGGTTTTGTATTAGTATACTTCCAAAAATTAATTACGATATTAAATCACTTACTCTCGAATCAGAATCTATGGAACGTATTCTTCGTGTTGCTGATTATCCTAATCTAACTGAACTTAAACCTTATAATGTTAACAATCATATTATTTCACAATATTTTACAAGTAAGAAATTTAAATACAAATCTTATATACAGTAAATAATAACTGATTATTCTTTCATTAGATTTTAGTCATGTTACAGACTTGATGGTACATAGTGTAATCCCATTCGAACATGAATTTTTTCTTCGAATCGCACACTTTTTTCCTTTCCTTAAAATATTAAGTGTTATTAATTTTGAACCACAATCAAGGATGGACGACTATTGGATTATTGACATTAATCGATTGTATTCAATTGTTGAATATCCAAATCTAATTTCACTTGATCTACGGTCGAGTCACATTCATTATATCAACCAGTTTCTCGATCAGAAAAGAACACATCTACCATGTCTAACCAAATTAGCAGTTAATTAAATGTGATCCTGCAAAATGTTTTTCTGAATAGCAGCAAAATTTTTCGTCATATAACGAGATTTTTACTCAAAATACGAACCTAAATATTCTTTCAACTTGCTTGTGAATTTAATAATTTTCTCTATAACAAACGCATTAAATACTCCATTCTAACGCGTTTGTAAAAGCCTCATTTTTACAAGAAAAAGCATGCATTAAAATACACGTTCAAACACCTTTATTTAAAAAAACACGTTTTTTCAAAAAAAAACGCGTTAAAAATTATGTGTTTAATTGTGTTTGTAAAAAGTTCGTGTGTTCAACGAAAGAACTCGAAAAAAAACGCATTCAGATACATGACAAATAAGCGCTTCGTAATGCTTAAAATAAAACATGTTTAAATAATGTTTGTCGGTGGCATTTTAAATCCAAAAAGATGCATTGTGAATAAATAAAGATGCATGTAAATGCGTTTAAACACAAAAGTAACATTTTTTCTCTAAAAGTTTGTGTTGGAACGCGTTTTTGTACAAATTCTTTTTTCGTGGGATGTACCTGTTTTTAAATATCTTTCAAATCTTTAACATTACAAAGATAGTAGTTGTATAAAATCTTTTACCTAACTATTATATCTTTTCAATAGTTGTGATTATGTTTAATTAACTATAATAATGTTTAAATAGCCATAATGAAGTTTAACAGCACTATATTTTAAATAGATAGTTACACCAAATAATGCTATGAATGAAAATTATCAACTACTTAATTATTAAGTAGCGAAATATTATTCGAAACATTATCTCGTTTCAGAAGCTACCTTCTATTCAGTATCTTCTTCTTTTTCTTCAATACCCTCACTCAAAGTACAAGGTTATCACGCCATGTGCCCGATAATCGATTGAAGTAAGCAAAAACAAACCAACTATTATTGTTTGATGTAAACAAAGCTTTTGTCCACACATAAGCCGATCTTTAGAATTACGGCTTAAACGTTCGATTGGCCCTAAATGTTGAAAACAAAATTATTTTCAACTCACATAGAGCTTGCTTTTACAAAAAGACTTGTTCTTTCAGTTTTCTAGTGTAGAGTATATCTGAATCAACAATAATTATGAGATAATTTAGTACTCCGATGAAACAGAGGAGACAGTGCGCTCTTACATATTCAATCTATAATTTAGTGCTACTAGAAGTTGAAAAATGTTATATATTTTTCGATAGAAATTACAAAAAGAGATCAGAAGCACTTTGAACAATATGCAATCTATATCCACTGTAATTTTCTGTTTTCCTTTCACAGAATTATTCGATTTTTTTTGTTGAGATGTGAGAAATGGATTTTATAATATATCGATTGATACAGTTTACATGTCAATTAATTGCTCTTTTTTTTTGCTTTGTTTCTCTTTTGAGATTTTTCATTGATAAAGACAAAGAATTGAATTT